TTTATTGAAAATTTTTCCGAGCCGCACAGTGCGAGAAATAAAAGTTTGCTTTTTTGCACTGTGCAAGAATAAAACAAGGATAAAAAGTCGACTGCACTGTGCGGAAAACAAAAATTTCCAAGGCACAGTGCAAAATTAGAGTCGAACGCACAGTGAAAAATTTATCGAACTTTATTCCGAGTTGCACAGTGCAAGAAAAAAAGGAGAAACAGCCGACTGCACGGTGCGAAAAAGAAAAAATTTCGATGCGCAGTGCAAAGTTAGAGTTTAATGCACCGTGCGAAATTTTTTGAACTTTCTTACGAGCCGTACCGTGCGAGAAAAAAAGTCGACTTTTTTCGCACTGTGCAAGAATAAAAAGAGCGAAAAAATCAATTGCACAGTGCAGAAAATGAAAATTTCCGATGCACAGTGCAAAATTAGAGTCCAAGGCACCATGTAAAATTTATTGAAAATTATTCCGAGCCGCATAGTGGGAGAAATAAAAGTTTGCTTTTTTGCACTGTGCAAGGAAATCAGCCCTTTTTTTCGCACAGTGCAAAGTGAGAATCGCAATTTTACGCTCTAAAAACCTGTCGCAACTGCACTGTGCATCATCTGAAGAAAGAAATTGTCGCATAATGCGAGCGCAAACCTCCAAAAATCCCACAAAAACTCGCCGCACAGTGCGTTTTTTGTGCTGTGTCCGCACAGTGCACCATGCTCGCCCAATTACCGCCCAGCCATTATATATACCGGCACTTAAGTCAATGATCCGGTCCCCGAAGCGCGTCAGCACGGGCGCGTTGTATAAACATGTCCCAAAGCCCGAAGTTCATTTCCTGTCGCCGCATGCCCTCGGGGCGGGTTATGCAATTTCCATTGCCCCACAAATGTCACACAACCCGCCAAAAGTACAGTGCGGACATGCGTAAGCGGCGCAAATGTGGTAAAAATATTTCGTGCCCTGCGGGGAATTCGCGGGTCTCACGTTTCCGGTCCGCTATTTGTTGTATTAAACGGCTGTAAACAACGGGCAAATGGGATAAACTTTCGACAAAAGGCCGGCACAAGGGCAGTATGATGTAAAATGTAAAAATAAAAATTACCCCAAAGAACAACAAATTTCGCAAAACATGAGAGAAAAACTAATATCCTATAATTGAATTAATCAACAACAAAATTTAAAATTTCATTAGGAAAAAGTTCGGAGAGCAAACTATGTACGTGAAATCAGAATACGAGATTTTATAATCTGCGTGAAATATCAATATCGATATTAACGTAAATATGAGGAAATAAAAATTGCAAAAAAAAAGTTTCTGTATCGTGCAATAGAAGAAAAAAATAAAAATATCCTTTAGTTAAATTTGAGTTCAAAGTTCGGAGATTTTAACTCAAAAATCTTGCACATTGCGGAAATTTTCTCAAAAAAATTTTTTGCACAGTGCAAAAATTTCAAATCTTTGCACAGTGCAAGCCCAAAAATAGCTTATTTTTGGCTTTGAACAGTGCAAAAATCTCTTTTCTTCGCACAGTGCACGCAAAAAATACCAAAAAAAATTTTCGCGCTATGCAAGAAACCCAAATTGTTGTACAATGCAAGCCCAAAAGTAGCCTATTTTTGGCTTCGCACAGTGCAAAAAAAAATTCTTTGTACAGGGCACAAAAAAATTTAAAAAAATTTTGCAAAGTCCAAAAATTTTCTATAAAAACTTTTTCGCACTGTGCAAAAAGTTGAAATTGTTGCACAGTGCAAGCCCAAAAATAGTTTATTTTTGGCTTCACACAGTGCAAAAATCACCTTTTTTGCACAGTGAGGAAAATTTAAATAATTATAAATTCACATAATGAGAAATCGACGACATAAAAAAATAAATGTTATAACCCCTTTGTACTCGATTTACAAGATTACCCGCACCGTCTAAGATAAGGTATCACCGGCTCTTTTCTTCATTCGGGCATTCCTTTTATATTTTCCCCAGAAAAAGTTAATGTAAATAATTCGATGTAAAGGTAATTGAATTGTAGGTAAAAGGAACCCGCTTCTCTTGTCTGCGCGCTCGCTTCCACCCACGTTGTAAAAATTGATGCAAATTTCGTGGAACTCCGCCTACGTTTCTGTTTTCGGGATGGTAATTCGTCGGTAACCACGAATTAAGCGTCACAACGTTTAGTTCGTAACACTGAAAGATAAGGGACGTTCATGCTTTGAGCAGCTCAATTTTGACTTTTCCGTCCGGGTTTCCGGACCTTATGGCACTAAAATATGGAACGCGGGCATTGCGAAAATCCGCTTTACGCCGTGAATAGGTCATTATAAGTGTTTTCATAAAGTGTGCAGACATTTTTTGCCTTTTGTCACGAGCTCACAGTGTTTTTTGCTCTTTTCCCTTATTTGTCGCGGCGCACCGTGCATTTTGGTTTTTCGCACAGTGCAAACTTGAAAAAGCGGTTTGCACTGTGCAAAGAATTGAATTATTGCACAGTGCAAGCTCAAAAAATATCTTGCACAGTGCGAAAATTTATGAAAAATCATTGCACAGTGCGTCCCAAAATTGGTGTATTTTGCGTTTTGCACGGTGCAAAAGGGAAAACTTCACGGTGCAAATTGAGGTTTGCACCGTGAATTTTGCCTCGCGGCGAAATGTCTACACATTTTATGAAATCTTTTTTTGGCATTTGTTGCCCCGCACCGTGCGCAGGAACCCCCATCTTGCACCGTGCATTCCACTTTTTTGTTTCGTTTTTGCACTGTGCGGCGAAATGTCGCCGCGACAGAAGTGAATTTCAACTTCGTCGACAAAAAAAATTTGCACAGTGCAAACGGCTTTTTTGAGGCTTGCACGGTGCGAAGAGAGAAAAATGCACTGTGCATTGGCGACAAGCGTGGGAAAAGCTTCAAAATGCAGTGCACAGTGCGCAAAAAACACCCATTTTTGCACGGTGCATTTCACCTGTTCTTTGGTTTTTGCACTGTGCGGCGAAATGTCGCCGCGACAGAAGTGAATTTAAACTTCGTCGGCGCGAGAAATTTGCACAGTGCAAACGGCTTTTTTGAGGTTTGCACGGTGCGAAAAGAGAAAGGTGCACTGTGCATTGGCGACAAGCGTGGGAAAAGGTTCAAAATGCACTGTGCATTGGCGACAAGCGTGGGAAAAGGTTCAGAATGCACTGTGCATTGGCGACAAGCGTGGGAAAAGGTTCAAAATGCACTGTGCGGAAGAGAAAAAATATCCATGCACTTTCGTTGCAAAGGTTGACGTAGTAAGCGAGCTGTTTACAAGGGCTTTTTGTTACGCGGATTAATCAAAATGATTGTTACAAAGAAAAGTTGTAAGCCGCTTTGACCCGCAAGATTCGGGTCGGAGCCGGGATTAACGAGGAAAACGAATAAATCGGACTAAAAAAGCAGATCAGTTCAGTAATGTAATCCGAAAAACGAGTTTACGACAGCTCACCGCTCCTTGAGGACCATTACAAAATTGCTTTTTGGGCACTTAACTCCGGGTCGGCGCTGGGATTAACAAGGAAAAGTGGGTTTATATTATTACTATAATGGGCTTTTCAAGACAAAGAAGATCATTTGAGTGGGTCGAAAACACCGTGAATGATACGCTTATACAACTGAGTGGGTCGAAAACAAATGACTCTTTTACAATGGCTCTTGAGTGGCAGAGAATTAGTCATACACGACAAATTTGTTGGCAATGTAATTCAGTTTTTTTGAGGGCTTTTGACATCAAAAACGCTCACAGTAAAAAATTACAAGGCTTTTTTCAAAGTGTAGAAAATTGATATATCAGTCTGCCAGGAAAATAATGAGCACTCTATCGCATTGAAAATCGCATCGTCGCCGAGAAATTGTGTCGCCACAAAATCAAATTTCTTTTTTTTTCAACGAGCAGCGACATTGTGCTTACTATTTTATTATTTTCCCGACAGACTGACACATGAATTTGATGATAAAAAACTTGCCCAAATACAACTTCAGCGTGAACTAAAAATTTTGATTTTGAGAAATCCGGGCCCACGACCACCGAGCCACTAGACTGAGCGCACTCGTGACAATCGACAATTGTAGTACTATAATAAAAAAGATGAAATGAGGGATAATGTATCGCGAATGTACCTAATGTCGGGAAAACTAAACATCTGCTTCAATTTAGTAGCCGTTTATACAGTTTTTGAAAAATTGGAGCTATAGCAATATTTTCATAAAGTCCATATACATTTTCCGCCCCCGCACCGTGCACAAGAATCCCCAATTTTTGCACCGTGCAGTTCACACTTTTTGGTTTTCGCATTGTGCAGCGAAAAATTTTTTTGAGGTTTGCACTGTGCGAAAAGAGAAAAATGCACTGTGCGTTAGCGACAAGGGCGGGAAAAAGTTCAAAATGCAATTTTTCGCACCGTGCACAAAAAACCTAAATTTGCACAGTGCGTTTCGCTTTTTTTTGGCTTCGCACTGTGCGCCGGAATATCGCCGCGACATAACCAGATTTCGACTTTGTCGCAGCGTCGGCGCCAGGATCTGCACTGTGCAAACGACCTTTCTTCACTGAAAGAAAAAACATCAAATTCAAATTCATCAAAATAAAACATCATGCATTTTTGATGTCGACGACATCAAAAGCAGGAGATTTTGATGTTTTCATCAAAAAAATTTTTTTGATGTTTGGGTTTATCAAATTGCAATTCGCAAATTGAACTCCAAAAAGAAAGATACAAGAAATCGGTCGGATTTCTATTCGTAAATTTTGCTGTTTTTTTGTAAACGATCGTGACTGTCAGGTTAGGTAAGCGAATTTTGTTGTTGTTTTCTTTTATGTTTAGATCAGTAAATGAAAGGTTATGTAACTTCTTTTGCAAGGTCTTTGGATTTAAATTTTATCGAATTTCCTTCAATTTCAGGCCTTTCTTTATATTGCACTTGACTTCAGAGCGAATCCCGTTCTGGGTGTGTTGTTTTCCCGCAAAATGAATATGCCCCATCACACAGCAACATCATCAACTGAGTAATGGAAGTTGGCACCTTCAAGACCTATCCGCTTTACCGCAAGGTCTGCCCGGGCGTGAAGGATTACCTGGACTTGCGCTCCGCCGAACTCAAAGAAGAATTACATCTATAACTATTTAGGGAATACTCGTCGTGGTATCTTATCCATGGTGAGCTCATAAAATATTTAAAGAATTTTCAAATTTTGATTGTGTAAATTTATAGGTGGATGTCGACTTTCCCGTCAAAGACCAGCATCATCAACCCGTGATAATCTCCATCGTCAGCACTAACATGGAAGAGTTGGAATGGTGTTTTCGGTAAGACGGCCTGCGGTTGATGACGGTAAAATTAACATCGTGTATTTGTAGGCCTGGGCCGTCCAGGAGCTTGATGATCAATGGAAAACAGTATAGCTTCGATATTCCAGAAGTCGGGATTCATCAAACGTGTGAGTTATTTATATTGTAGTAGTTTGATTTTTAGGCCATGCGATGCGGACACCCGGTGGTAATGGGGTGGTGAATGACATGTTCCACGACGCAACGGCCTTGTCTTCCAATCGTTGTCTGGGATCAGAGCCAGAAACACCCGTTTCATTGAGTTTAAAGGCTACATGATCAACCTCTTTGAATATTACAGCCATTTGGCCGAAATTATGTTGTGGCTAACGGTTTATTTGAATAAATCGTTTAACTAATATTATTTGTATCATTTTTTGATAAATTATCAGAAATATTTGATTTTCCAAACATCAAAAATTTTTGATGTGCGCCACATCAAAAAAAAAATATCGCATTTTTTTCTTTTTGATGAAACGAAACATCAAAAAAATTTTTTTGATGTTTTTATCAAAATCTAATAGACTGATGAAAAACATCAAAAATTTATGATGTTTTTTCTTTCAGTGTTGAGGTTTGCACTGTGCGAAAAGAGAAAATGCACTGTGCATTAGCGACGAGCGTGGGAAAAAGTTCAAAATGCAATTTTTCGCACCGTGCACAAAAAACCTAACTTTGCACCGTGCATTTCACATTGCTCTTTTGATTTTCGCACCGTGCGCCGGAATATTGCCGCGACAAGTTTCAACTTTGTCGCAGCGCCGGCGCCAGGAATTTGCACAGTGCAAACGACCTTTTTCGAGGTTCGCACAGTGCGAAAAGAGAAAAACGCATTGTGCGTTAGCGACAAGCGCGGGAAAAAGTTCAAAATGCACTGTGCGGAAGAGAACAATGTCCAGTTCGAAAATAAAGGCTAATAAAAATACGAAACAATAGTCAACCACCAAGTTGTCCTGTTCCTTTTTCGTAACACGACAAAAATTCATCAACATGTCGACTAATAAAAAAACCCCTACAAATCGATACGCCCCACTCCAGAAGATAAGTTATCAACCACGAAACAAGAGGGGAGACGTCGCAATGGGAGCGCCGCGTACGTTTGTTGTGCTTTGTCGCATATTCCCAGAAAAGCGAGACCCGTCTGCGAAACGTGACCGAAGCAGCGTCGTCCAATCAACGAACTGCGCGCGGAAGTCGGCGAAAACAGGCGATTTTTTCGGAGCAGAATTGTAAACTTGGGTCTTAATGGACCCTTGTTTTAGAAGGAAGTGACCCGAAGATTTATTACCCCACAACGCAAAAGAAAGACGGTGGTGTTCCAAGAAAGTTCAAAGAATGGGAAACAAGGAGAGCTCAAAAAGTGTAGCGGACGGTTTTTTGAGAACTTTTACAACGCCTTTTCAACAGTGCGTAGACTTTTTTCGGCCCTTTTTCGCACTGTGCATTTGACCTTTTGCACTGTGCAATTTAAAAGTCGCAGCGACGTAGGTGTTTTCTGTGTCGCGCGAATTTTGGGCGTGCGACAACAACTGCACAGTGCAAAAGAAGAAAAATGCACGGTGCGCCGAAAAAGGGTTTGTGTGCGATTCTCTTTCGCACAGTGCATTTTGAACTTTTTTCCCATGCTTGTCGCGAATGCACGGTGCATTTTCCTTTTTTTCGCACAGTGCAAACCTCGAAAAAGCCGTTTGCACTGTGCAAGTTTTAGGAAAAACACGGCGACACATCGATGCACGGTGCGAAGACCAAAAATGAAAAATTAAAATGCACAGTGCGAAAAAGAGGGGATTTTTGTGCACGGTGCGGGCTGCGACAAATGTCTCTGTTCGCACAGTGCAAAAACAAAAAGGCCGTTTGCACTGTGAAAAAGAGTCGCAAAGCTTCAAAGCAGTTGAAAAAAGCTCAAGTCGCGGCGATGTTTCGATGCACAGTGCGAAGACCAAAAATGAAAAATTGAAATGCACAGTGCAAAAATCAAAAAAAAAGTAAAATGCACTGTGCAACCAATGGGGATTTTTCTGCACAGTGCGTGGTGCGAAAAATGTCTATGGAGTTTATGAAAATACCGATGGTCAAATATCGCTTCCCGAAATACGTACATGATCGTCCCATAATGAATGTTTTTTTTTCAATTTTTCTTAATTGGGCTCTGTTGTGTTTATACGACCTAAATTGCTATGGTAGGAAAAAGTGCTCGTTATCGGACTAATAGTATAATATTTTTCATAAAGTGCGTAGACTTTCTTCCGGCATTTATCGCCAGCGCTCGGTGCATTTTGTCTTTTTTTTCGCACGGCGCGGGCTCTTCGAATATTTGGCACTGCGCATTTTTACCCATCGCGGAAAAATTGCTTCAGAAACATCGCAGCCATTGAACAAAGCGAATTTGTCTGAAAATAACGCACCCCAACCCTTTTTTGGTAGTCTCTGTGGATGTAAAATTTTTGCTGTGACAATGTAAAAAGATAAAACATAGTTTGGCGTATTTTACCCTCCTCAAACTCCCAAAGAAATCGAAAATTTCTCGCAAAACTGCACTAGATTTTCACAAAATACCAAATGAGCTAAATATAACTCATATATTTCCCATTTTCAGCCAATGCAAAAGTCAGTAAAGTTACAATGAATCAAAAATTCCGCGAGGTTTCGCGTCTCGTTCCCTTGGAAATTCGCCTACTATAACATAGCAAACATCGGGGAGACGAAAGGAGAATCAAAACGCGTCCACCGTATACCTAAAAGCGGAAGCACGAGAATCGAAAAGGACTTACTGTAAAAATGAAGCGCTGTCTCGGGAAATGCGACTAGAAATTGGGAGCGAAACTGGAAATTGACGCTGAAATCAACGATGTAATAAAAGTTATAGTGGTAAAACGCGATCAAATAGCGAGAAAAAGTGGTATGGGATACGGTAGAATACAGGATACGGCGGGAAATTGATTAAAAGTCCAGTGAAAAGGTGTTTCAGAGAATCGACAGGGCAAAAAATGGTAAAACTTGGCTACAAACATCAAATTTTCGAAAAAATAATTTTTTCTTTTCTATAGACACTCCCATCAACGTGGTTTTGAAATTCGTCTTTTTTGCACCATGCAAAAAAAATTTGATTTTTTGCACCGTGCAAAATTTCTAGAAAGAAAAAAAATGAACTTGCGCAGTGCAATGTGGGCGACAGATTTTGCACGGTGCGATAAATAAACTTTTGCTGTTCGCACGGTGCAAAATTTCAAGAAAGGAAACATTAAACTTGCACAGTGCAATGTGCGCGACAGATTTTGCACTGTGCAATGTGAGCGACAGATTTTGCACAGTGCAATGTGCGCGACAGATTTTGCACGGTGCGATAAATAAACTTTTGCTGTTCGCACAGTGCCAAATTTCAAGAAAGCAAAAATGAAACTTGCACTGTGCAATGTGCGCGACAGATTTTGCACGGTGCAATAAAAAAAATTTTGCTGTTTGCACTGTAAACACCGGGACAAAACCTTGCACAGTGCAGAAGAAAAACTTTTTCGTTTTGCACTGTGCATAAACTCAGGGAAATTCCGCACTGTGCAAGGAAATTAAAAGCTCTTTGCACTGTGCAGATCACTTTTTGAGACAAAAAAAAGCATGCTGCACGGTGCGAAACTAGTTTTTTGAGTTGATGGCTGCACTATGCCAAAAAAACATGTTATCAGTCTGTCGGGAAAATAATGAGGACTCTGTCGCAGCGAAAATCGCATCGCCGCCGAAAAAATCAATTTTGTCGCGATAAAATCAAATTGCTTTTCACTTCAGCGACACAATCGGCGCAACAAAATTTTGCTCATTATTTTCCAGACAGACTGAAAAAAGATGAAAAAACCAACGTGTTTTGAAGTAAAATTAAACAAAATTTCTATAGGAAAAGATTGTTGGGTGGAAAAAATTTTATATACCGTATACGTATATTACTTTGGCAGTAAACATTTTTTCAAATGAAAAAGTAAAATTATGGCTATCAATGACCAAAAACTCAAAAATTCCCCTTCCTCTTTCCCTCACAAACTCAACAAATTTCCCTCTCAATCGGCTCCGATCTACACACTGATTGCCCTTTTCACTCCTCGCTTTTCATTTCCTCGAAACAAAAAAATTTATGCTAAAACTTCCGGCGCAATTCTTCGCCGACTAACCCACTCACTTTTCGGAGATTGATAAAAAAAACACAAAAATCGAGTGGGTCGGTTGAATCATGGGCACTGTGACCGGGGATAGGCCCTCAGGACATTAATCAGAGAGCGCGTAAAGTCGATAAAATACGTCAGAGGAAGGAAGGGGTAGTCGGTTCGACTAGCCTTGGGATTATGATTAAAAATGGAGGAATTTTGATAAAGCATGAAGAAAATAATGAAAAAAATTTATTTTTTGAGGAAATTTTATATGCCTTTATCAAAATAAGAATTTTCTTCGCTGAAAATCGCTGAAAAATGTTGAGAAAAAACATTTTTTCCCTCATCAAAAAATATTTTTTCGGCTGAAAAAAATTCTTGAATATCTCAGCGGCAAATAAAACACGTAAGCTGCAATTTCCAGGAATTAAAATACGACCTATAAAGACAATCTCCACAAAATTTCAAAAAAATCCGCCCGGCCATCTTGGAGAAATACCCTTGATTTTTTAAACTAAAATCTGCACAGTGCAAGTCCATTTTTAGCCTATTTTTTAATCCGCACTGTGCAGACAAGAAAATTTTTTTTTCTTACGTTGAAAATAGCGATGAAAAAAGGTGTATGGCCAATTATGGCCAATATTTTTTTCAATCTTTACCCCTCCTATAACAGTCTGTCGGGAAAGTAATGAGCAAAATCTCGCTGCGCCAATCGTATCGCTGAAATGAAAAGCAATTTGATTTTGTCGCGACACAATTCATTTTCAAAACAACATCGTCGACGATCCGATTTTTGATTCGACAGAGCGCTCACTATTTTCCCGACAGACTGATAACTCACTCACTCATTTCCTTTCTCTCCCTCGCAATTCTTATTTATACATATAAGGGTGCGACTTTTAAAAAAATCTTTATCAGCAAAAAAAAAAGCCTTTTGCAGGGATGACTGTACGACCTATTATTGAATTGTCAGAGAGTAGGTCATGAATTCATATGATGACTAATGATTCCTTGAGCTTATCTAATTGTAAATTTTGATGGTTATTTTTAATTTTTGGTGTTTACAAACAAATTAGTCATAAATAGGCGGTCTGTAAAGGGATGAGAAAGGTCAACGATGTTTGGTTGTGAATTTTAAAGCCCGCG